GGGATTGATGTGAATGTAAAATATGTAAAGCGCTGTGTAAATTGTCAGTGCTATATAAGTTCTAGTTTGACAAAGGAGAAAGGCTACATTCACACTTGACTTTATATCTAACTCCTGCCAAACGCCCCTATGGCATTAGACAGGCGTTTGGGAAGCATTTTTAATGCTCCTCAAACACCCTCTGCGCGTTTTTGAGGTGTTTGCAAAGCGTCAAATCCGCACCACAAACGCCTATAATGAAGTTTAATGGTATTAACGCTCTGCAAACACCTCCAGGAGTTTGAGGAGCATCACCATAGACTTGAATGGGAGGCTTCAACTTCTCCTGACTCGACATGAGGTGCCAGTTTTGCTGTGACACAACGCTATTGCTTCAGTGTGAACAGCACTGTGTGCTGCCATCTGCAGAATTTTCATAGGTGTTTGAGAAGCTTTAAAAACGCTTCCCAAACGCCTGTCTGATGCCTACTGACAAAGCTAGTGTGAACGTAGCCTAATTGTGGGCTTTTAAACATATTACCACCCATTACGTTTTGACGTCAATATGTCCCAAAGTCACTTCCGATTTTGGTCCTATCGCATTCCAGCGCGGCTATATTTTCTGCTGGAGAAAGACACAGCCTGTCATACGGACTTAATCTGCATTCTGACAGAGACCAGCTCTATTCCACCTATGCTGCAGACATGTTTTAAGGATACATCTCATCCATCCATCCACCCGCTATCCACTGAGGCTTGCCAGCGAATAAGGACTGATGATATGCCTGTTTACGCTCATCATCCTTGTGAGTGCATTTTAACCCTTTCTTTTACCTGTTTTTAATTAAATTGATACACTTAGATGGCGGCACCTTCTGTTTGTTTATTGTTTTGGTGCTATAGAAGTACCTAATAAATAATAAATAAAATAAATATTTTAAAAAATGCCCTTTCAAATGGGAGAGGAGAAAGCAGAGTGGGGAGTTGGTGCTTCCTTATCAGATGTTGAACAAAAGTGATAAGAACAGGCCAGAACCCTTTAAGTACCTATGGTTTGACATCAGAGCTTCTACAGAGCTTTCTGTGCAATGTGCATCTCATTCTTAGGCTCCATGTACACGGGACACTTCTGAACGATGGAAACTGAATGCAGTGAGCGTACCCCTGAAGATGTGCATGCGCACGAAACGCGTCGGGTGGAGCTGCACTTGCTGACGTCGCGGCGCTGTTGCCATCGGTTGGAACAGCGGTCATCTTGGTGCTCCATTTTACCTTAATTCTTACTTGTTTCCACGTGGATTGTCTTTATTCATTATTTAATAAATACACTATAAACTACTTTTGGCTCCTGTGGTGAGCTATTCCTCATAGGAGAGGGTCCCTTGCAGAGGCTTCGTTGCTGTTACCTGTACCCAGATGAGATGTGCTTACATGCTGTTTACCAGTAGATGCATGGTGTGTGTACATCTGACAGAGGTGGTGGATTCCCTATTGGATCACGTCACAATATTTCACCGTGATTGCTGTACTTATATCCTTACTGACAATTTATAGCTCTTACTCCACTGATATTTTATGGACTTTATATATTCTCAATTTTATCCTGCATTTTACTGTTTCACATTTATTGAACATTTTTTATATTTGATTTTTATATGCTGCACTTGACTTTTTCACTTAATTTTTTTTTCCACCATATGTCAGATTGACTTTGTACTTTATTTTCACTATAATATCATTCACTTATTGTAGCGCTGCACTTTCTATATATAAAACCTGGAAGCTGATTGGTTTCTATTCAACTCCAGTTTTAGTAAATATCCCCCTTTGAATATGTGAGATCAGACTGTCCTATTAAATTGGCTGTTGAGCACCTTGTCCTTGTTCATTTTACCAAATATATAGTTTTTATTAGGAGTGGCGATTTAATCAATATTACCAAGTCCTTTCAAAACATAGGACTGCTTCACATTCTCAAATAAAAAAATATTTTTGGTCAAAACTGTCTATAAATAATGCAGAAATCTTCAGGCATCTCCCTGAGTTGTATATTTCCAGTATTTATTTTAATTACTGTAGATTAGTGGGAATATGTAGTCCTTTATTTTAACTACATTAGGATTAGATGAGTACTTAAGTATCTGCTGTTTTAATCTAAAACTGAATTCCTTCTAATGAATGGATGCATTAAGGATTTGTTGAATTCTACTGAATTCTCTGACTCTGTACTCATTTGCATATTCATACTCATTTATATGCATGACTTTTGTGGAATGGTGCTTTAAAATGTATGTGCAATATATAAAAGAAAGCATTTAGGCAATGAAAGAAAATATCCAACTGATGTACAAAAGGTCTGTTCATGGCGAGATTGTTCCAATGGTCAAAATGCTGTCAGAAGTGTTACAGAATGGTAAAAAATATATACAGAGAGAATTCTATATAAAAGCACTATGGAGCACTGAGATGTGATGAATCCTAAACAGCCAGTGGAAGAGCTGTCACCCGGGGTAAGCTGGGTCACGTTTCCAGCAAGAAATTTTTCCTTGGGGGAAACATGTCATGAATTTTGAAAGTACTTCTGTACTTCACAGCAAGGAATGGTGTTCAGTAGCAATAATGTGTCATGAATAATAAGACAAAGACTTATATATAGAGATTTGTACAGGTATAAAATGAGTCTGGCTAGCCCTGCATGCTGGGAATTCTGTTGAAGGACCCCAGGTTATTTGTGTCTGCATTAAAATATGCTTTTTAGTACAGAAGTACTTACCTTGAGTTAAAATGAGGATGTACTTAAAACTCTATGAGTGTAGCTATAGCAAAAAATAGCAGGCATTTATGAGATGAGAAAGTGGATTATTCATCTTCACTGTCAGATTTCCCAGGTCTGACAAATGGCTAGTAGCAATATCCAACTTCCGATGCAATACAGTTATGGCATTTAATCAAATTAGATTATTATTAAATACAACATCTGAGTTAAAAAGATGAGAATGATGTATTATTCCCTGGTGACTATACTATAGTCTGAACTAGTTAAAAAAAAAAAAAAAAGACATTTAAAATTCAAATGTAAAAAAGAAATCAACATATACTTTGCAAAGGCGAAACAATTCCATTGATTTTGTAAGGCTTGATGAAGTAGATATCAGTTTGAAAAATGCACGCAGCAAAAATGACCTGAAATGTTCCAGCGAGTACCTTGCCTCTTTCCATGGTACTGAGGCACTCATCCTTGCTTCTTATACACAATCATCCATTATAGTATTTCAATCTCTATCCCGATGTTCTAATTCTGAACAAAATCACTTTGAATCTCTTATGTCAGCTACTTTTATCTTTGAACTGGAGCCTGGTCTTAGCTCAGCAGAAGAGCTGGGGGGAAGGGAGTACTAAGATGTCTGGACTTTTAGAGCTTTTCCACACAATATAAATGCACCTAGATTTAAAGTGGTTGTAAACACTTACATATCTCCAGTGAAGTGACTGGCCTCAGGTGATACACAGAGATGAAACAAATCTTCCTACATAAGTTGTACCTGTTTATCTACTGCCTACATTCATTCAAAGTGCACAATTAACGAGATCTCTCAGCTCTGAAAAGCAGTTGAAGTTACACTCACTGATGAGAGCTCTGAAAGCTGATTGGAGGGAAGGAACATCCCCCCACCCCTTCACACAGCACAGAAGTATAGACTTGAGACTGTCAATCACAGGCTGTGCCCTCCCCATCACCATTTTTCTCTTAGTGTCAGAAAAACTGGTTAGTGACTCAGGCTGATAGCAGAGAAACAAGGCAGCACACAGAAATGACACTTGTGCTCAGGATTAAGACAAGTACACACTAGAGGGGTATGCTTTGTTTCTAAGGTTTACAACCACTTTAACCTCCCTGGCGGTATTCTCGAGTGTAGCTCGGGGTAAAATTTCAGTACCAAAAGCGGTAACCCCACTACACTACACTCGGGATTACCCTGCAGTGTTGCTCCGGGATCCCACGGCGTCCAAAAAGCGTCCCTTTAGGTCAAAAGTGGTTTTAGACCAGCTAGAGAACAGCGAAAGTAAAAGATAGAGAAAGCTACATAGCCACACTTTTTCCTCATTTTGCAATCATCTGAAATAAGTACCCCCAAGGCCTTTTCCCCTGAAGTGCTGGCCAACACTGTACCCACAATGTTGTACTCTCTCAAGGGATTCTTTTTCCCTGGGTGCATTATTTAATATTTAGAACCTGCCCACAGCAGGGCTAAAGCTCCATGCATATTGGGCATATTGATAACACTGGTATTGTTAGCTGTGTAAAGTCACGTTAAAATCGTTTTTTTTTAGCAATTTTGCATTAGCGTTTAGCCGCGATTAGTGGTGGTTTCCCGGGTTTTTAGCAGTTTTTTTTACCAAAAAAAGTCTAAAAACACCACTTTGCGGTGGTTTACCACTTTTACTGTGTTTTGCTGCATTAGGGTGTTTTCAAAGCTAAAAAATTCCTCTAGAAACCCACTAGTCCTGGGTTTTTTTTTTTCCAACCAAAAAATGTTGATTACAGTCTGTGTGTGCATGAACAAACAAACAGGAGAACATGCTGGGGGGTACTGGCTGTAGAAAAAAATGTCAAAAGCCAAAAACAGCAGCTGTAAAAACATCAAGTTTGCATGAGGACTAAAGGTAGAAAAAAACTACCTGCCCGGCGCCCGGAACTGGCATGTCCTGGGCGTCGGGCAATAGGAAACCAACATCTCTGCAGTGGTATTTGATCAAAAAAAAGACAGACAATTTTCAAAAAAAATTATACTTTTGACTTTTTGCTATTAAACACGATAAGTTAAAAAATTTTAAAAACCAAATTTCGTCATAAATTTAGACCAAAATGTATTCTGCTACATGTCTTTGCTAAAAAAAATCCCAATAAAAATCCCAATACATGTAAAGTAATTGGTTTATGTGAAAGTTATAGCGTTTACAAATGGCAGTATATATACTGGGATTTTATTTTTTATTTTTACTAGTAATGGCGGCGATCAGTGACTGCGACGGGCATTCTGACACTGGGGGGAACTGACTTGGTGTCACTGACATCCCCAGTGACACCAATACAGTGATCAGTGCTAATAAAAAAGCACTGACATTGTACTAATGGCACTGGGCAGGAAGGGGTTAACATGTGGGGCCATCAAAGGGTTAACTGTGTGCTGTTTTACTGTGTGCTGTGTCTGTTCTTTCAACTGTAAGCACACTGCTCTGCTATGCAGAGCCATGCAAAGCAGTGTGCAGGAGCTGACAGGGGAGAAAACTGTATTGTTTACATACAGTTCTCTCCCTCTGACGGGAATGCTCCGCAATCACCGGGTGCCGGCGACTAATCATCGGCCAGCACTCTGCGATTAACAACCGAGGCTGTGAATAGAGGAAAAACACTGGCATTGTACTAATGGCACTGGGCAGGAAGGGGTTAACATGAGGGGCGATTAAAGGGTTAATTGTGTGCTGTTTTACTATGTGCTGTGTCCGTGTGCTTCACTGTAAGCACACTGCTTTGGATGGCTGTGCTGTGCACAGCCATCCAAAGCAGTGGGCACAAGCTTACAGGGAGAACTGTTTTGTTTACCCCACTGGAGATGTTCGGCACTCACTGGGCACTCAGAGGCCGGGACCTGGTGATTGACAGCCGTGGCCTTGAATGGCGATGCGGGTACGGTGTGCACCCCCTACTCGGAAATGCAAAATCACGTATATATACACGTGATTTTGCACACCTGTGCCGCCCTGTAGCAGTATTTCTGGTATAGAGCAGTCGGGAAGTGGTTAAAGAGGAACTTTTACCTTTGCATGACAAGTACAACAAAGGCACCTTTAGAAATGTTTAGTAATGGCAATCTACAAACAGATGCTTGCAATTTTAATTTTGCATACCATTTTTACTAAGGGCTGATAAATCCATCTCCCTTTTTCTTCCTGAATCTCTACCTAGAATGTTGGGTGTGCCTCCTGGAACATGTTACATGAAGTTCCCAGGATGCAGCTGTAAGGCCAGGGTGGCATCATCAGTGTTTAAAGAAACCAGGTAGTGCAAAAACAGTCATTTTAAGTAAAAGCAAAAAATGGTTGTTTAATGAATGTAAGATGACTTCCTATCAGCGTGCAAAACTGTTTGCTGTTGTGATTTTTGATGAAAGGGGCGAAAGATGCTCTTTAACCTCCCTAGCGGTCTGATAATGTCCATATTTCTGTGCTCAAAGCGGTACATTTTTTTGCATGGAAATATGTATTTTTTTTATTGTAGGCCTGTCATTTTTAGGAATAACGCACTGAAATCTGTCCGAACAAGAGTCTAGTAAACACGTATGTTAAAATTTGAAACACAAAATCATAAATTATAATTTAATAAATAATCATAAAAAATAATAATACATTTAATTAAATAATATAATCAAACCAAAAACACTGAAATTTGAAATATAGCACCAAGTTCGTACATCACTGAGCAAAGTCGCAAAATCGTTTTCAGTGTCTGATGATGAATTTCCCCCACGAATCATTATCACACAATTCTGCAAGTGGTTCTGATTTACTATCGCTGTTCTCTAGCTGGTCTAAAACCGCTTTTGACCTAAAGGGACGCTTTTTGGATGTCATGGACTTTTCTCAGTTTCCAGGCAGAAAGAACAGTAAAAATGAAGGCAGGGCACAGGACAAAGCACTAGGGACAAAATGTATGTGAAATGGTTTGATACAGTAATGTTTTACTATGTGATTTTAGTGAATTTAGTGAATGTCACTTTTACAACTTTCAAATTTCCCACCAGTTCCGTCCTCATACGTCCCGACGTCGCAGGGAACGGAACCCAGAAGAGAGATGCCGGCATCCGCCGGAGGACATTGCCGGAGACACTGCAGGAGGCACATTGCGGGAGCGAAGGACAAGGTGAAGAAGAGATCCCGGAGCAACCCTGCAGGGAATTCCTGAGTGTAGCTCGGGGTTACTGCACGTGGCGCTGAAACTTTACCCCGAGCTACACTCGGGAATACCGCCAGGGAGGTTAAAGAACTAGGGAGTCCACAGTGGTCGGTTTCCTTGAATTTACTTCAATGAACCACAGAAATCCTCAGAGGGCCAGAGGTACATTGCGCGTGTGGTGTATGTTGTATACACAAGCCCTCACATTTATAAATGCAGAATATTATACACACAGTCAGTTAAGAAATTACCCACACATTGTTCTGTGATTCTGAGTGCATTAGAAGGCCATTTAATGCTTGAAGGCTTTCAAACATGAAAACAATGTTATTATGTCACACATCTTTAAAATGTATTGATCTGGATGACTGCTACAGGGGTGCAGTTTATTTCTAGATAACAAATGGTTATTTCAACTCATTCATGCCATTAAACATGTGAAAGACAAATACAAACGTAAACATTTTTTTTTTCACAAGAATCTTTATGACATGAAAAAAAAAATTTTTAAAAACAAAAATCTGTTTAGATAGGTTTATATATCATGTGATTCATACATTGTGTGTGGTACAGATTTGTAGATTGGGTTGTGGATTGTGCTTCCTGTTCTGACTCGTTCACACCAGGTTGTTGTGGCAACAACTGTAATCTGCCTTGTTGCACTGCAATGCCATTTCTTGGCTCCCCAAGGCACCTTCCCAACTTACGCGTACTGTAAGACAATCTGCTTTTTCATGCATGGAGGTCCACTGAAGCCCATGCCTTTTGAATGGACTGCCTAACACAGCATGCCGAAATGCTTATTAATGGACAAAACACTGCACTATGCTGTGGTGTGAACAGGCCCTAAGAGATGTTTACTATTGCCCTCCCAATTGTGAATATTTGTGAATAAGGGGGTTTGTAGAATCCAGAGGTGATCTAACATTATTTGCTCATCTCCACGAATTAATAAACTTCCCTAAGATGCAGCATCTTATGAGGACATTTTCTGTTCTTTATTCACAGATTGAGGTTACAGGCTTTTTTGAAAGCATTTATTCCTACAAAAAAGGTAAAATTCTCTTTCTTAAGACAGCCAGACAAATATAGAAATTAGTCCAGAGAAGAGTGAGAACAGGATAAGCATTCCCTCAGTTCATCTTTTTCCCAATATCTGTGATGAGAAGGTCATGAAGTCCATTATTTCAAACAGATAAAACAATCTACGCTTCTCCTGTTTTTCCACATATCAGGAGTTCTCTCTGTGCTGCAGGATGACCTCTGGGTAGTATTGATCCACCGCATGGCTCTGAGTAAGTAGCCCCAAACTAAAACCTTCCTGCTGGGTCTCTATCATATGCCCCACTAGGGCATTTGATGTCCTTGGCCCTCTCCCCCCTGGCACACCCCCCTCCCTCTCTCTTTTTTCTTTCCTTTCCCTCATGATTCTTTCTATAATTTTTTTCTTACAAACATAAAATATATTCATTGGAAGGCACCAGGTTACAATCTGTGGTAGGCAGCAGCCCATGGAGGTTTATTATGTGTATACGGTTGTAAGCATCTTCTTTGCTGTTATTGGCTTTTCTGGCATTATGCCACGTATCTAATATCAGAGGTCATGGATCTTACCAGTAATGTAACAGTTGTACATGCTGATCTGTTTCACTCAGCTGCGTCTGAGATGTTCTGATATTGAAATTGTGATTGTCAACCCCTGACTTTTGTTAAATAAAGAATAATAATATTAAAAAAAGAGGCATAATCTACAAAGGTCTTATTAGTCTGCTTCAAGGGCAACTGCAGTACAAAAGGTGTACTAAAATCAGGGACTGCTTTTGGTGCAGGACATCCCAATCTAGAGGTTTAAAATGCAAAAGTGGGTCGTTCTGACTGAATAAGCTCCTGCTCTTTCCCAGTCCATACAGACCATATATACCTTGGACCAAACTTTGCGGATGTGATCTACTATTAGCTATATTACCTTATACAAAAATAAAGTAGCGGCACATAGGAAGCAGAACAGACCTTTCCGTGATAGAATATTGCTCCAGGGCAAGGACACAGAGCAACTCCTGTCGTTGAAACTTGGTAGGGTCCCTAAATTGTCCTATTTCGAATAGATTATATAAGAAACCACACCTTTCAAAGTCAGTAACTTCTACTAGACTGGGGTTTTGATTTACAATGCATGATACGTTTAAAATAAAAGTTTACCACCAATGTACCAGCATGTTACAAAATGGAAAATGAGAAATTGGTTATGGATTGATTACTATGCAATATACTATATGTTGTTTCGTATTAAAAGTATGCAAATGATTCCTGAAAAAAAGGAAAAAATATCACACCGAAGGGGTCATTTCTTCTTCCGTCAGCAAGTATTCAGTGTTATATTGACAACCGACATGCAATGTAGCAGAGCCCCACTGGCTCACAGTGCTGTCCTGCTCCGTGCAATGGAACATAGCTAATGAACAAGAACACGAAGCTAATAAAAGATTCAGGCACTCCTGTACTTAAAATACATTTAATACTTCTTTTACATAGCTGAGTTAAATTTTTTACTTCTCTGAAGTTCAATCTGTAATATTTGAACAGCTCAGTGGAGTTTGATCAGGTACAGGTTTATTTAGGGACACCATGATGCTGGTGTGGAGGTTCAGCCTTCACATTCCCAGATCACAGCTCGTCATCCCCTACCTCAGCCACAAAACAACACACTCATCTGTTCTCCACATTTCAATGGACAATCCAGCAGGAGCAGGTAAATCTGCAGGTTGGCATAATCCACAAAGAAGCCTCTCACAAATGTGAGAAGATGGCCTGGAAAAGTATCAAAGACCAGTGTAGTCCACCAAAACTAAAGAAGTATAGCAAACACTTTTTTTTGGCTGTATTTCTTCTATGTATCACAGGAGTGCAGTTAGTTCTGCACTCCTGTGACCCTTTTTCAGTCAACAGTGGACTGAAGCCTGCTGTCGGCTGATGTCACAGAGCCAGTCCAGGCTCTAAAAAATATGGTCAGAATCCACCCAGAAGCCTGGTCCAGCAGCTGGCTCAGCCTCTCAGCCAGCCACTGAGAGCCCGAGCCAGCCGCTCCCACCTCTCCAGTGAGCGCTGAAGTGGTAGAACACTGCTCTCTGCTCCGAGCAAAAGGGGGGGACTGAGCAATCGTGTGTTTGATCACGCTAAACTAACTAACTAAAGCCCATAATTCTCTTTTAAGTATCAACTTTCTCTAATTGAGGTGAGCAACTGCATTCACCAAAACTCACCATAAAAAAAAATTGCATATACAAAGCATTCATGAAAATGTTCAAAAACAGGTTTTAATGCCTATGGCCCAAATACAGCACACAAAATAAAGCATGTAATGTGTTTGTATGTGTTGATTTTCATAATATTAACCATGATCCAAAAACTGTATGCAGTTTTCCATTTTACATGGAAGGTTTTTGAAGTTAGTTGCATATAGAACACATAGCAGAAAAAGAGATTATAGCTAATCAATAGGTCTTGCTGATTCTAGGAGGTTCCTTGCTGCTTTTTTTCCATTATGCCAATGTTGTCTGCTGCTGTACCAGTCCAGAATGTGTGCAACTGTATGAGCCCAGAACAGCATCTGGCTCTTTCCATTAACTACACAAATCAGCAAATCCATTGTCCCCAGTCATTCTTGATTCATTTGTTTCCTGAGCACTGTCAATGGCACATTCCTATTTCTTTTTCTGCCTAGTTGGCTGTCATTATTGTTAATTTACAGAGTGCGTGTGCAGGTGAGCCAGA